GTGCTGAGGTTTACCTGCAGCGCAGTGCATCTGCGACTTTCCTGGGTTAGCTGCGCTTTGCCATAGACATCTATTATATCCTGCAGGTGTGGTGCACTTTTTAAAAGCGCACCAAAACTCCTGAATGCAGAAGGTGCATCAAACCCGCACTGTAATAGAAGTTTATGGCTAAGCACAGCAACACCCATGAGGTGGGTCAACTGCAGCACACCAGTGTGAAAGCGGCCCTATACTATTATGCCCAGTGTATTGCTTTACACTGACCAGAAGATCTCTTCTTTCCTGCTGCTGGCACCACTCTGGAGACCGTCAGCCGGGATAAGGGGTGGAGTGCAGTTGGTATCATTCTGCATGGGACAGGAGCCAGCACTTAAACTTTAAAAGTAGTCCCTCTGCATTGCACTGGGGTGGCCAGTCAGCAAGCCCAGATCACGATCTACCAGTAACTTGGCCATCATCTACTGGTAGAGCACTATCTACAGGTTGCTGACCCCCGGGGTAATTAATTACAGAACCATTCTGAATGTTCCCATTCAGAAATAGCCCCTTGGCTGGTCTCCACTGGGTACCGATCTCAGATCGACAAAATAATGTTGATTGGCTGGTGATCTGATCCAAAGGAGATTATGAATGCATCTAATAGGTTAAAGTAAACTTGTCCAAAAAAAAAAGAAAAAATGTAGACTACCGTTGCTGACCATCATCAAAAATACATTTGCCTGGACGCCAAAGCTTCAAGTCACTGACCTAAAACATGCAGTCAAGAGTGAACTGCCGGTCTGCATCAATGACTTGAAGCTATTGGACCAAGCCTGTCAAGGAATTACCATTTTCTTTCACTTGAACCCTTTCAGTGTCAGATGTTAATGCCTAGATGTCCCTCTGCTTATCCTGTCCTGGTGGTAGTATGAAGATACTAAGCGGCATTTAACCAGCAAGGCAAGGAGACAAGTGAAGGGCTGCAGTGAATCAGGCTGCATTGTACTCAAGTCACAGATATCCATTCACCCCGGGATTAGAACACATGCACTGTCTGCTTCTGCTTGGGAGGTTATCGTTCTGGGAAACGTAATACTTACCGGGGTGACATGTGCCCAGTTTCCACTGTTTGCTGATCCAGGATTTAGATGGCACATTGCTTTTCATTTTTTATACTGGTGGATATTTCACTTTACTTGATTTCATAATGAAGTCTTCAAATGCTGCACTATGAGAGCCCTGTTTATTTATCCTGCAAGGCAGGGAGACAACAGAAGGGCTGCTGTGTGGGAAGTGTTTGTGCATCAGGCTGCAGTGTACTTGAGGCACAGATCCATCCATCATAATAGGTGCATTGTTGGCCACTGTTTGGGAGGTTAAAACTCTAGTAAGCTTAACACTTACCTCTGGTGACGAGTGCCCATTTCCACTGTGAGGATCCAGGATTTGGATGTCACATTGTTTTTCAATCTATATATATTGGTAGATATTTTTTTGCACCTTAATATTCCGATAGATTTATGGACGTTTTTAATTAGGACACATGATTTTTGAATTTTTATTAATTTTATGTATTACACAATTTATTTGGTAGACACTGCATATAATTTGTGCAAATATAAAGGAGACTGCAAAATTAGACTGGGTTGTGTATATCCAGCCAAAAATATTGGCACCCCGGCATTTCTGCCAGATAATGCCCCACTTCGCCCAGAAAATTGTTTGCAATTACAAATGTTTTGTTTCTCCACTTTTTTTTGTCATACCACTACAAACAAGAAATCAACATGAGAATGACTAAAGATTAAATCTGACACGTTCTGCTCTAAACCCCAAAAATGGACTGGACAAATTATTGGCACTCTCAATTTAATATTTGGTAGCACACCCCTTGGAAAAAAATAACTGAAATCAATGGTTTCCTGTAACCATCAATGAGTTTCTTCCACCTCTCTACTGGAATTTTGGAGCACTCTTCTTTCACCAACTGCTTCAGGTCTCTCAGATTGGAAGGGTTCCTTTTCCCAATTGCTGTTTTGAGATCTCTCCACATGTGCTCTATGGGATTGAGATCTGGACTCATTGCTGGCCAGTTCAGTACTCTCCAGCACTTTGTCTGAAACCATTTCAGGGTGCTTCTGGTCATTGTCCTGCTTGTAAGACTCATGACCTCTGACGGAGACCCAACTTTCTGACACTGGGTCCTACATTGCACCCCACAATTCTTTGGTAGTCTTCCAATTTCATAATGCCATGTAGTAGGGATGAACCAAAATTTCAGTAGCCAAAGCGTTTCTGCCAAAAACACCCCTATCGGCTCTTGGCCGATATGAAAATAAGCACTGATACAGGTGCCGAAAATAACCCTGCCCACCCCACCACTAGAGTTAAGCAAAGGAAAGATGGCCTCCACTTATCTCTGTGCCCTTGGAGGACTGGAGCGATGTCACTTCTGGTTCCAGTGCCTTGTAAACAAGGCCTTTTTTTTTAGCACTAGATCAATGCTTTTTTTTATCTAATGCTTTACATTATAGAGGAGAGACGTGGGGTCTTATTTGACCCCATATCTCTCCATAAAGAGGACCTGTCACTAATTATTTTTATCACAAGGGATGCATGCATTCCTTGTGATAGGAATAATGATTACAATTATTTTTAAAGGGACAGTGTAAAAAAAAATTAATTAAAGAAGAAAAAAAGTTTAAAGTGCCCCCGTCCCCCCATGTAGTGGTGAATGCACACCTAAGCCATGCCCACATATGTAAACAGTGTTCAAACCACACATGAGGTATTGCAGCAAACATCAGAGCAAGAACAATAATTCTAGCACTAGACCTCCTCTGTAACTGTACATTGGTAACCTGTAGAAATGTTTAAAGCGTCACTCATAGAGACTTTAAAGTACTGTAGTTTAATGCCATTCCATGAGCGTGCACAATTGTAAAGCTTGACATGTTGGGTATCTATTTACTCGGCGTAACATCATCTTTCATATTTTACAAAAAAAATGGGGTATATATAGTGTTTTTTTTAATCATTAAAGTGGATTTTTTTTTTCAAAAAAGTAGCTTTTGAAAAATATATTTATTTTTTAAAACTGTCCATTTCAGTTTTTGGCCAAGTGCATCCTGTATTTTTGTTTTGGCACCAGAATTTTCATTTCGGTGCACCATGAATGCACACAGTCAAGACATCCAGTGCTGACACAACAAAGCAGCCCCAAAACATCAGTGAACCTCCACCAGGTTTGACTGTATTCTTTTCTTTAAAGGCCTCATTTTTCTTTTCAAAGTGAATGGGCTTTATCAAAAAGTTGCAATTTTGTTTCGTCTATCTATAGCACATTCTCCCAAAGGGATTGTGGCTTGTTCAGGAAAGTTTTGGCAAACTCCAATACGGCTTTTTTATGTTTGTGTGTCAGCAACAGGGTCCTCCTGGGTCTCCTACCATAGCGTCCTTTTTCATTCAGATGGAAAACATGCTGACACATTTGTACCCTGTGCCTGAAGGTCAGCTTGAATTTGTCTGGAAGTTGATAGAGGTTCTTTATTCACCATTCAAACAATCCTTCCTACAGTGCCATGGGCGGTTAATATTCCTGTGTCCACTGTGTGCAACATTGTCAAGAAGTTAAGATCTCTGGAGGTGGACTTGTAACCTTGAGATTGTCCATGCTTTTCCACAATTTGTGTTCTTTGTTCCTCAGACAATTCTTTGCTGCTCTTTCTTTTCCAGGCAGCACAGAGACACACAACAGAAAGTTTTAAGTCAATTTTTCACCAATTTAACTAGTTTCTGGTGTGATTCTATATTGTCAGCACCTGTTAATTGATATAGGTGAGTTTATTTACAAATTACAGAAGCATCCCAAATTTGGAGTGCAATTATTTTTTTACAATTTTGAGAAGGTGCCAATAATTGTGTCCAGTCCATTTTTGGGGTTTTGCACGGAATGTGTCAGATTTGGCTTTTTGTTTCTCCACTTTTTTGTGTCATACCAATACAAACAAAAGAATCATGAGAATGTCTAAACATTTGTAATAGCAACAATTTTCTGCAAGCAACGCAGTCATTTTGGTTGTTTAATGAAAAAAAAAAAAATCCAATATCCCCCATCCACATATTTTATGCAGAAGGGGAAATCCTCCTCCTGTACTATTGTGTTCTGACGGTGGAGAGCCTTCCTCTAGCCAGCATCACTGATCGATTGGGAAAAACCCCAACCGGCTGGTTGTACAAAACTCAATCGATGAATTTCTGTACGAGGTTCCCATACATGAATTCAAAATTTGTCATTCCCTACTGAACTGGCTGAATTTTGATCCATGTATGACCAGCTTTAGTTCCTTGCTGCGATCTCTAAAGATAAAATCTGTTTCTGTAGATATGAACTAAAAGTGAATTTTCTCATGCAGCTTACTTTCTACCAGCCATTCATTTCTTCATAAGAGGAGAATCAAGGAAATTACCCAAGAGGAGAAGAACTCATATGTTGTTACAAAGTCAGACCCACAAGACAACAGAGGGCCCCATGTAACAAAGATGGCAGAGGACCCGCAAAACATCATTCAGATCCACAGCCATGAAGGTTTTCTTCTTCATATACAATAACCTCAGGAAGTTAGTAGTACAAGAGCAGCAGTCATTATCAGATATGACAGAATTGTATTCACTCAGTTCCTACTGGGATATCAGGGTACTCTGTGCATAATGAATGAATGTGCCAGTATTTCTTAATATAAAATCAGTTCTTAGAGTGCCAAAACTTTCTTTAGCCCTATGTTACAAACAAGCAGGACTTAATAAAAATAAATGCCAAAGAAAAGAAGGAACAAAGTGATTTTTTGTTTGCATTGTATTGTTGCATTAGAACAACTTACAAAAGTAATAATATTCAATAACTGTACAAAAATGAATAAACCGCAGCAGCGTTAAAGGGCAGCTGAACATATCAACAATCAGTTTAGATTATGTCAATCACATTTTTTTAGAACAGGATTCATCTAGTTGTAGCTCAGATTTTAGAATGTTCTGTCCAAAGGGTGTGAACATGTGTAAGCGCGGTTTTCCAGGACATACTTTGCTATCTTGCGAATGTTGTCATCCTGATTTTGATCACTGGCTAAGGAAAATTAAATGAGAATCACAGATCAAAAAGAATCTCTGCCCAGGATCAATCTACATCAGATAAAGTGTAAGAATCAACAACAACGCTACTTAATCCATTCCCACCAAGCATTCACATATCTTTACAGTCTCACTGAAGTGGGTCTTTATCCATGGAGTCACATATATGCACGGCTTTGCTTTTGCTGGGACTGCACTGCACAGAATGCTCACAGCAAAGTGACTGTAACTAATCATCTGATTGCTGTGATCATTCACTCTATAGCTCAATCCTGTTTTTGTTTTTGTTTTTTTTTCTCTCCTCTTGAAGGGAGCAAAAAAAAAAAAAAAAAGATACATTGCCTCTTTTTCTCCTTGCTAGAAGAAAAAGTATAAAGATAAATAGCTAGATCAGGGTTTTATCTACATCAGTGTCAGGGCTAGGCCTCATTTACATGGGTGTACTAAAGCATGCAAGGGCCATGTTTGCCTGTACTGGTGTTCTGTGCATCCTCATGCAGGCACTCCCACATTCAGGGCTGTGCACCCATATTGCTGTCAAACTGGGACCAGTGGCTGTGTCCCAACTGATATAAACAGAAGTGTCAGACCAGGGATACAAGGAACACCTGTGCATTCCTGAGGGCAAACATGGCCCTCGGACGGGTGTACACTGTAGTACACACATTTGAACAAGGCGTTTGGGTTAAGGTCAAGGTTAGCGTCAAGAGCCATGTGTTTTAGGTAGGATACAAAAAAGCTAAATATTGTTTCTGGGCCCTACTATGGCTACAAACATCAAATATACACATACTGTATGTGGTTTAGGGGAATAAAGCAGGGAGAAGGCAGGGAACAAAATTCCTGCCTGTAACCCTGGGAAACCACATCCCAGACCCAAAATGCTCTCAGTTAAGGTGGCTGAAAATGCCAATAGATACCCCCTACTTACAAAAGTAGCTGCATTGTGAGTAGAAGTACTTCGTGCCAGACTTGGCTGACTTGGACGTCTAGGATTTGTGCTGGAAATGAGTGGAGGACTTGCCTTTAGAAGCAGAGGTCTAGGAGTGACTAAAGGAACTCTTCCAAAAACCACAAGCTGTTGACTCTACTGTGGGTAGATTAGTTTTCTTCATATTAACCACTTCCCGCCTGGCCTATAGTCAAATGACGGCCGGGCAAACCTCTCGTCCCTCCGGGATGGTGTCATATGACGTCCTTCCCGGATCGCGCTTTGTGTGTGCCCACAGGGCCGCGTTGTGGCGAGATCTGTCACCGGCTGTGTACCTCGGACACGGCCGATGACAGATCTGTGTAGCGGCCCCATTGCCAGTACCATGTGACCTGATGTGACCAATCACAGCAGGTCACATGACAGTTGTATACAATAGATGGCTTTCTTTCATGCCATACATTGTATACAAGTGTGTCTAGCTGTGAATGGTCACACAGTGATCACATGCACAGGCTGTGGCAATCACAGCCCATCTGTGTTATGTGATTAGCCATGGCCAATCACAGCTAATCACAACAAAAAAAAACTGAATGAATTGATTTCCTTCAGTTAAATGCTTGCTTAAAGCAAAGAAATTATTTGCTATAAGCAATCAAGTGTAAAAAAAAAAAAAATACTGATCACTTACCCAAAGTAGTACAATGTTACTATGGTAACATTATATTACTTTGGTCATAGTGTAATATGAAAAAGAAAATCTTAAACAAAAAAGAAAAAAATTAATAAAACAATTGAAAAAAAAAAAAATCAATTTTTTTTTTCGTACTATCAACAGTCAGTGTCTTTGATCACCGCCACCCCAGTTATATGCTGACGCTGTACTGCACTGGTGACAGTGTGTAAAAAAAAATTTTTTTTTAAATTTCTTTTCCGAAAAATGACAAAAAAATTACAACTTCAAAAAACTCACCATGCCCCTTATGAAATACGTCAGACTGTCTACTTTGCAAAAAGGGGTCATTTATGGGATATCTGTACTGTTCTGACATTTTTGGGTCTCAAGAAATTAGATTGGCTGTCAGTACTTCAGGATTGGTCAATTTTCAGATATATCCCATAGTTTGTGAACTCTATAACCTTCCTACAGACTAAATAATAAGTACTAATTTGGGTTATTTTCACCAAAGACATGTAGTAGAATACATCTTGGCCTAAATTTATGAAGAACAATTATTTATTTGCAAACTTTTATAACAGAAACAAAGAAACATTTTTTTTTCAAAATTTTCAGTCTTTGTTAATTAAGCAAAAAATAACCCCCCCCCCCCCCCCCCCAGTGGTGAATAAATACTACAAGAAAGCTCTAGTTGTGTGAACAAAATGATAAAAGTTTAGTGTGAGAACACTGAAACCTGAAAATTGGCCTGGGCAGGAAGGGGGTAAAAGTGCCCGGTATTGAAGTGGTTAAGTAACAGAGTGCAGTCTCCACCCATGACTCTCTTAATAAAAGTGTCTTTGTAAGAAACGTCTGTCAAGTGGAACCTTTTTCAAACAAAGTAGATCAGTTCTGCAGTCAGAGAATTGTGCATATCTGAATGGACATTAAGGCAGTTAAAAATTTTGGTGCGGGGAGTCCATCAAACTGTCTATGCAGTAGTGCAAGGTTACCTGGAGAAGCTCCAGTACAGAGGAATTCAATACGGAGGGATCCATAAGGATCAAGCTGGGGCTGCATGCCATTTATTATCACATTGTATTACACTCACATGTACATGCTGAAAAAAAAAAACAATCGCTGTTGTATTACTACAACTACTCGCTAGCAATCCGATGTTGTATACTTGCTGTTATCTGTCTGTCTCCTTCTGCATTAGCGTCGTGACGTTGGAGCTCTGATGTCATGACGCTCATGCGGAAGCAGACAGATAATTCAAGTACACAACATCGGATTGCTAGCGAGTATTTGTAGTAATACAACAGCGATTTTTTTCATCATGTACAGTTGTATTCAAAATAATAGCAGTGTGTTGAAAAATGTGAATAAAGCTCAAAATCCTTCTAATAGCTTTTATTTCCATACACACAAATGCATTGGGAACACTACACATTCTATTCCAAATCAAAACATGAAGAAAAATATATCAAATTTGTGTTGTTCCTCTAAAATAATTGAAGAAAAGTGAATATTAGACTGTTCACAAAAATATCAGTGTTTGTATTTTTCTTTACAAACTCAAACATTCACTATATAAACTGAAAAATGTTTGAAGATTTTGCTTTCCTTTGAATCACTTAATATTTAGTTGTAGTCGCACTGTTTCTGAGAACTGCTGTACATCTGTGTTGTATGGAGTCACCACAACTTCTGGCACCTGTGAACAGGTATTTTTCAGCCCAGGATGATTGGACTACATTCCACAGTTCTTCTCTATTTCTTGGTTTTGCCTCAGAAACTGCATTTTTGATGTCACCCCACAAGTTTTCTATTGGATTAAGATCCGGGGATTGGGCTGGCCACTCCATAACGTCAATCTTGTTGGTCTGGAACCAAGATGTTGCACATTTACTGGTGTGTTTGGGGTCGTTGTCTTGTTGGAACACCCATTTCAAGGGCACTTCCTCTTCAGCATAAGGTAGCATGAACTCTTCAAGTATTATGATGTATTTAAACTGATCCATGATCCCTGGTATGCGATAAATAGGCCCAACACCGTAGTATGAGAAACATCCCCATATCATGATGCTTGTACAACCATGCTGACTGTCTTCACAGTGTACTGTGGCTTGAATTCAGTGTTTGGGGGTCGTCTGACAAACTGTCTCCGGCCACTAGACCCAAAAAAAACAATCTTACCTTCATCAGTCCACAAAATGTTGCGCCATTTCTCTTTAGGCCAGTCAATGTGCTCTTTGGCAAATTGTAACCTCTTCAGCACAAGTCTTTTTATCAACAGTGGGACTTTGCGGGGGCTTCTTGCAGATAGCTTGGCTTCACATAGGCGTCTTCTAATTGTAACAGTACTCACAGGGAACTTTACACCTTCTTTCATCTTCCTGGAGCTGATTGTTGGCTGAGTCCTTGCCATTTTGGCTATTCTTCTATCCATTCGAATGGTAGTTTTTTTTTCGCTTTCTTCCAAGTCTTTCAGGTTTTGGTTGCCATTTTAAAGCATTTACGATCATTTTAGCTGAGCAGCCGATAATTTTCTGCACTTCTTTATATGTTTTACCCTCTCCCATCAACTTTTTAATCAAGGTACGCTGTTCTTCTGGAACGACCCATTTTCCTCAGAATTTCAGAGAGAAAATGCACTGTAACCAGCATGTACAACATTTGCTGCCTTCCTTCCTTAAATAAGGGCAATAATTGCCACCTGTTTTTCAAAGAATGAATGACCTCACTAATAGAACTCCACACTGCTATTATTTTGAACATGTCCCTTTCAATTAGTGATTCAATTACACAGAATCAGCAGCATGCATGTCATGACTGTTGGATTTCTATTACTCTGCTACACCGGCTAGTAAATTATTTGCCATGTAGAAATATCATTTCTATCAAAAACAGTGATTGATCAGGTTAGTGATGTCTGACTGCTATTATTTTGAACACAACTGTACATGTGAGTGTAATACAATGTGATAAAATCTTTTAAAAGGAGGATAAGGCACTATGTTATGATTATTTCTTATGGTACACGGAGAAATGGAGGAAGGTCTTTAAGGAAGCGTGGGGACCCTAAACCCTGCAGGATAAAAATCCTATCCAGCCACAGTCCACCGAAGGGACACAAGCTATTTATGACCTCACTTAGCGGTTTGGTCATATTTACCAGGTGAGAGCACAACTGGTGAAGGTGCATGTGTGACTGTCATGATAAAACACTACAAAAGGTGAACCAAGCCTAAGTCGGTTTTGTCCACAGCAGTGAAAAAGAGTATATGATCATGGGTGCAATATTGACACTTTGCATTAAATTTTGGAAGAGATATATAGAATTTGGAAAGACATATGAGTTTGTTTAATTTTTATATGTGTTTATTGTATTTGCATATTTATGACACATCTGTATGGGTATGTGTAACATGTAGGCGATCTACTGTTTTCACTTTAATTTTGGCACTATTTATTGTTTAGATACTATAGCAGCTCACAAGATTTTATTTATTATTTTCAAATGATCACCTGTGTGTTTTTAATTTTTTTGCGCAATAAAAAAAAAAGTGAACATTTTGAGAAAAAAAAAAACAAATCAAAACAGTATTTTTGACTTTTTGCTATTAACCACTTCCAGTCCGGACACTTTTACCCTCTTCCTGTCCAGGCCAATTTTCAGCTTTCAGTGCTATCACACTTTGAATGACAGGTGACAGTATGTAAAAAAAAAAAAATTATAAAAAAATATAAAAAAAAAGTTTAAACATTATAATTTTTGGTTATAAACTAATTTGGGTTATTTTTTACTAAAAATATAACGGAATTTATATATATATGTATATATATATATATATATATATATATATATATATATAGGCCGAGATTTATGATGAAATACTATTTATTTGCAAAATATTATAAGAAAAACACTTTTTCAAAATTTTAGGACTTTTAATTTACATAGCAGAAAAAAATAAAAATCCCAGTGGTGAATAAATACCACCAAAATAAAGCTTTATCTGTCTCAAAAGAATGCTAAAACATTCATATGGGTACAGTATTGCATGACCGCGCAATTGTCATTCAAAGTGTGATAGTGCTGAAAGCTGAAAATTGTCCTGGACAGGAAGGGGGTGAAAGTGTCCGGGCTTGAATTGGTTAATATATATTTGTAAACTACATACACTATATTGCCAAAAGTATTGGGACGCCTGCGTTTACACACACATGAACTTTAATGGCATCCCAGTCTTAGTCCGTAGGGTTCAATATTGAGTTGGCCCACCCTTTGCAGCTATAACAGCTTCAACTCTTCAAGGTTTAGGAGTATATTTATGGGAATGTTTGGCCATTCTTCCAGAAGCGCATTTGTGAGGTCAGGCACTGATGTCGGACGAGAAGGTCTGGCTCGTAGTCTCCACTCTAATTCATCCCAAAGGTGTTCTGTCGGGTTGAGGTCAGGACTCTGTGCAGGTCAGTCAAGTTCCTCCACCCCAAACTCACTTATCGATGTCTTTATGGACCTTACTTTGTGCACTGGTGAGCAGTCATGTTGGAACAGGAAGGGGCCATCCCCAAACTGTTCCCACAAAGTTGGGAGCATGAAATTGTCCAAAATGTCTTGGTATGCTGACACCTTAAGTGTTCCCTTCACTGGAACTAAGGGGCCAAGCCCAACCCCTGAACGACCATCCCACACCATAATTCCCCCTCCACCAAACTTTACACTTGGCACAATGCAGTCAGGCAAGTACCGTTCTCCTGGCAACTGCCAATTAAATTGTCCAAAATGTCTTGGTATGATGACGCCTTAAGAGTTCCCTTCACTGGAAAAACCCAGACATGTCCATCAGATTGCCAGACAGAGAAGTGTGATTGGTCACTCCAGAGAACACGTCTCCACTGCTCTAGAGTCCAGTGGCGGCATGCTTTACACCACTGCATCCGACACTTTGCATTGCACTTGGTGATGTAAGGCTTGGATGCAGCTGCTTGGCCATGAAAAACCATTCTATGAAGCGCTCTATGCACTGTTGTTGTGCTAATCTGAAAGCCACACAAAGTTTGAATATCTTTGGCTATTGACTCTGCAGACAGTTGGTGACTTCTGTGCACTGTGCTGACCCCGCTCTGTCATGTTATGTGGATTACCACTTGGTGGCTGAGTTGCTGTTGTTCCCAGTTGCTTCCACTTTGGTATAATACCACTCACAGTTGACCGTGGAGTATTTAGTAGCAAGGAAATTTCACGGATGGACTTATTACACAGGTGATAACCTATCATGTTACCACACTTGAATTCATAGAGATCCTGAGAGCGACCCATTCTTTCACAAATGTTTGTAGAAGCAGTCTGCATGCCTAGGTGCTTGATTTTATACACCTGTGACCACGGTGGTGATTGGAACACCTGAATCCAGTGATTTGGAGGGCTGGGACAATATTTTTGGCAATATAGTGTATATCTAATGTTCATAACAAAAGCTGAAGCATGAAGCTGTGGCAACCCATGCCTGTCCGAACACACCTCTACCTATCCCATCTTCTGAAACAGAACTCAGAACTTACTTCTTTCCAGTTCAGCCATCGCGTAGATGTTCTTGAAATATGCTTCTATGCAAAACATGTTTGCAAGCAGCACCTAAAACAGTGACACAATCATAGAGATTAATAGAATTCAGGTGCATGGTGGGTGAAAGGGGCAACTTCAAAGTTTGCTGTAAATAATAGAGATATGCGTGCATGCAATCTGGAGGGATTTCCTTTCACTTCCTTTTCTGTCTATGGGACAGGAAGTGAAGGGAAATCTCCCCAATGGGACACAAATTGAAAAAATAAAACTTACAGGGGTTATAACACTCCTTTACGCTTTATGAAATGAAAAAAAAAAAAAAAGTTTAGCCTATAGTTCTACTTTACTGTGTCAGAAGGCAAGTGATAGAGCAGCACAAGAAGAGCATGTGTCATCATTTTCTGTGATTACGGCATCACAATAAAGACAGTTCAGTAGAGAAAGCCCCAAAGCATCGTGTCTCCCTCCTCTTTCTAATAGATGCCATCCAGGAGGAAGGATTCCTGCAGTTGTTCAATTTTGTATCAAGATGTAGTCACTAAACACTGGGAGATCTACTCACTAGGCATGACACAGGGAGATTTATACTGTAATCTGTGGGTTGGGCTAAAAGATGGAGAGGCTATGAGGTCATTATAGGTTCTTTCCTCCTGATGCACAGTCAGATTGGAAGTGGCAGATTCAACTACATTTTCTTGTAATGCTGCCACTAAATTACAAAGGAACTGTTACCCAGATTATGGCCAAGATTTCATGCTTGATGTAACAAGTATGCTGCAAACATAGCAATAGTTAGGACTATAATATTTAGTAAACCTATTAAGATCTGATAAATATGAGAAGCATTTTCTTAGGCCCAAGAATTCACTATGGGCTTTGAACCCATTAGAAATCAATGCCATCAGATACATAATTTTTCTTATCTGAGTAATTTCTATTGCTGTGCCATGTGCCATCACATATGGCAGTCCATAATCTAATCCTTTGTACTTGAGGATCTGAAACGGTCAAATATTTGCACTTACTTCATGATCGTGATTGCACAGGCCAATGCTGATGGAGCGGCTTGATCTAGATATCACAGCTGTCATGGCATATAAATTAATAAGAATATCTGCTATTTTCTTCAATACAAGCTGCTCATCCACAATTGACTGCAAAGAAAAAAAATAAATATTTGAGATACCAAAGTACGCTAAATCAGTTTTTTCAGAACTGAAAAAGACTCAGATCTTTTCTCCCATCAGACATTTTCCTAATGCCTCTCCATGACGGTGAAAATAATTTACTAGCCCTGCCTCACTTATAAAAGGAGGAGAGCCATTTCACTACACAGCACTGTGGATCATAACAGCTAATGTAATGGGTCACCAACACAAAAATGGTCACTGATCTCAGACGGGAACTTGCCTTGCCAAACCTGTACAACAAAGTTTCCACCATTTTGCCAAAGAAATATACATTCGCCTCCAACCTCACGGTACTGTCCTGTGAGAAGAAACAGACTCAATTCAAAATGCAATTACTTAAGAGTCTTTATCTCTATGGTGATTAATCATAAGTGTCACAAAAGTAGGCTGTAAACTGTATACATTGAAGAATAACAAAATCATTATAAAATTGCATCTGCAAGCTTATTTACCCATTTTAGCTCAATAATCTGTATAGCCCTTGTAGACAAGAACAATTTTTACATTTCTGCCATTTGTTATTATTACAGGTACTTGTATATCGCTGTCAATTTGCGCAGCGCTTTACATATACAGTTGTGTTCACAATAATAGCAGTCAGACATCACTAACCTGATCAATCACTGTTTTTGGTAGAAATGATATTTCTACATGGCAAATAATTTACTAGCAGGTGTAGTAGAGTAATAGAAATCCAACCGACCCAACAGTCATGACATGCATGCTGCTGATTCTGTGTAATTGAATCACTAATTGAAAGGGTCATGTTCAAAATAATAGCAGTGTGGAGTTCTACTAGTGAGGTCATTCATTCTTTGAAAAAACAGGTGTCAATTATTGCCCTTATTTAAGGAAGAAAGGCAGCAAATGTTGTACATGCTGGTTACAGTGCATTTCTCTCTGAAATTCTGAGGAAAATGGGTCGCTCCAGACATTGTTCAGAAGAACAGCATACTTTGATTAAAAAGTTGATGGGAGAGGGGAAAACATATAAAGAAGTGCAGAAAATTATAGGCTGCTCAGCTAAAATGATCGCAAATGCTTTAAAATGGCAACCAAAACCTGAAAGATGTGGAAGAAAGCGAAAAACTACCATTCGAATGGATAGAAGAATAGCCACAATGGCAAGGACTCAGCCAACAATCAGCTCCAGGAAGATGAAAGAAGGTGTAAAGTTACCTGTGAGTACTGTTACAATTAGAAGACGCCTATGTGAAGCCAAGCTATCTGCAAGAAGTCCCCGCAAAGTCCCACTGTTGAAAAAAAGACATGTGCTGAAGAGGTTACAATTTGTCAAAGAGCACATTGACTGGCCTAAAGAGAAATGGAACAACATTTTGTGGACTGATGAAGGTAAGATTGTTCTTTTTGGGTCTAGTGGCCGGATGCAGTTTGTCAGACGACCCCCAAACACTGAATTCAAGCCACAGTACACTGTGAAGACAGTGAAGCATGGTTGGTTGCGCAAGCATCATGATATGGGGATGCTTCTCATACTACGGTGTTGGGCCTATTTATCGCATACCAGGGATCATGGATCAGTTTGAATACATCAGAATACTTGAAGAGGTCATGCTGCCTTATGCTGAAGAGGAAATGCCCTTGAAATGGGTGTTCCAACAAGACAACGACCCCAAACACACCAGTAAACGTGCAACATCTTGATTCCAGACCAACAAGATTGACGTTATGGAGTGGCCAGCCCAATCCCCGGATCTTAATCCAATAGAAAACTTGTGAGGTGACATCAAAAATGCAGTTTCTGAGGCAAAACCAAGAAATAGAGAAGAACTGTGGAATGTAGTCTAATCATCCTGGGCTGGAATACCTGTTCACAGGTGCCAGAAGTTGGTTGACTCCATGCAACACAGATGTACAGCAGTTCTCAGAAACAGTGCTTATACAACGAAATATTCATTAAGTGATTCAAAGGAAAGCAAAATCTTCAAACATTTTTCAGTTTATATAGTGAATGTTTGAGTTTGTAAAGAAGAATACAAACACTGCTATTTTTTTGAACTGTCTAATATTCACTTTTCTTCAATTTTTTTTAGAGGAACAACACAAATTTTGATATATTTTTCTTCATGTTTTGATTTGGAATAGAATGTGTAGTGTTCCCAATGCATTTGTGTGGATGGAAATAAAAGCTATTAGAAGGATTTTCAGCTTTATTCACTTTTTTGAACACACTGCTATTATTTTGAACACAACTGTATATTGTACATTCACATCAATCCCTAACCCTCAAGGGGCGTACAATCTAACATTCATACATACACATACTAGGGTCAAATTTAGACAGGATCCAATTAACCTGCCAGCATGTCTTGAGTGTGGGAGGAAACCGGGGGGGTACCTGTAGGAAACCCACACAGGCACAGGAAGAACATGCAAACTCCAGGCAGGTGGTGCTGTGGATGGGATTTGAACCAACGACCCTAGTACTGCCAGGCAGAAGTGCTAACCATTTAGTCACTGTGCTGCTATGGTCCCATTGATTCACGAAAAGGTCATTGCTTAACCACTTGCTGCCCCAGGACATCCCTGTACGTCCTTGAGTTATACCAGCATGATGCAGGTACAGGCATCATCCCATTATCTTTTTCTTGGCCAGTGATCCTCTTTTTGTAAAACAATCCTTGCCACTTAATTAGCCACTGAAACACTTGTGGCCATGGAAGTGATTGAAATACCTGAATCCAATGATTTGAAGGGGTGTCCCAATACTTTTGGCAATATTGTGTGAGTGTGTGTGTTAATGTTAGGGGGTTCTAAGTAATTTTCAAGTAAAAAACTTGATTTTTACTTGTAGGGGAGAGATGCCAGGGTAAGCTTGGGAGGCAAGTGGTTAAAGTAATTGTAAACCCTCAGATTAAAATAGAAATTAAAGCAAAAACATTTGTGTATAGTTATAAAAAACGTAGGGGAAAAAAGGTGTTTTATAATGTTTTGTTATTTTTATAAGTGGTCACATACCCTCTGTTCTCAACTACATAAGAGTTGGGGAGGAGAAACAACAGCATACTGATCTCAGTGAATGGCTGTGCAGGTGGGTGTCAGTACAAGTCTGATCATAGGCAGAGAGAAGGCTGATTTTCCAGCATAACTAGAGAACTTAATTGATCATGGTGTGTTCTCCAGCTAAGTGTAGTCAGTTTTTAAATAATAAAGCAGAGGGACTGGCAGGAACACCAGGGATTTCACACAAAGGAAGCAATACAAAGAGAAGAGGATACTTTTTCATGGTACAGCAGGAACATATCGGGAATATGAAATGTTACATATTCTCTCTTGATACAAAAAATGTTGTTTGAGATAAACAAGAATTTTTTTTGTCAAGATTGTCTTGCAGAAGTAATTTTGTTTTCAACGCAATCTATTTTTCTAAAAAAGAATAAAATGGATGAAAAAATTTGTTTTTTTTTTTTCTAGTTTGACCAGTGTTAATTTTCAAAACATGAGTTACTGTATATAAATGTTATAAATCTGTCTTGGTCATAATAAAATTAAGTTTCTGATACAAAGCACAGCAAAGATATCTACAAATAAAATATTTTCTTTAATTAACCATGTTTTTAATGCAATGCCAAAAATTAAAATGAAACAAAACAAAGGGGGGAAAACAGACTTTTGACTTACCTATAAAATCTATATCTTGGAGTACAGGACACAGGCTGAGTATTTGTAGACCCAGGGTTACAGTCTGGTACCTTCAGGTCATTGGACACTGGCAAGCTATTGCTAAGTTCCCTGGGTATCCCACCCTATAACTCTACCCCACTGTGTGAGTCCTCAATTTTGTAGCAAGTAATGTCCGTAACCCAAGAATAAAACAGGAGGGCGGCTTGTGTCCTGTACTCCAAGATATGGAATTTACAGGTAAATTAAAATTCTTCCTATCTTAATCAAACAGTACATGTCACAGGTCGAGTACTCCTAGATCCTGGGACATCCCCAAACAATGAAAGAGTATGGTGGGCAACAACTAGGCAAACAGAACTTTGTTAACTGGCCCAACGAGAAAACAGACCTAACGTGTGCAGCTGGAAGAACCTTGAGGCTGAAAGCTGCATCTGCAGATGAATGGACATCCATTTGGTAGAACTTTGAAAAGGTATGGACAGAGAACTAGGTTGAGGCCTTACAATGCTGAGACTTGATGCTGGAGTGCCCAAGAAACACTCACTGATCTGGTGGAATGATCGCATAAAAGCACAGGAGATTAGCCTTTAGAGAGTTAGCTCTGGTGTTGTAAGGGACAACTGATCCAAGATGCACCTTGAATAAAGGTTTTCATAAAGGAGAACAAGGACAGAAGTTTTTGGAAAAGAATGTACAAGGTTGAAGCGTGTCCTTTCAAAGAGCATACAGTGATCGTATAGAAAAGAATCACCCCCCCCCCCCCCCCCTTTAAGTTGATAACATTTTGTTGATTTGTAGCCTGAAATGAAGACAGACAGTACGTGTTTTAGCCAACTGTATTTACTCAGTGCAGCTTATAACATCCAAGTGAAAGGTAACACCAACAGGTCAGGAAAAAATAAATTAATAAAAAGAGCCACTAAATTGGAAAAAGCCTCACCCCCTTGTGTTAGTATTTTGTTGAACCACCGTTTGCTTTAATTACAGCCTTTAGTCTGTTGGGATATGTCTCTACTAACTTTGCACATCTAGACTTTGCAATATTTGCCCACTCTTCTTTGCAGAATTGCTCAAGTTCAGTTAAATTTGTTGGTGACCATTTGTGGACTGCAGTCTTTAATTAATTCCACAGATTTTCAATGGGGTTTACATCTGGGCACTGACTAGGCCATGCAAGGACATTCACCTTTTTTTTCTTCAACCACTGTGTGGTAGTTTTTGCTGTGTACTCTGGGTCATTGTCATATTGGAAGGTAAACCCATTAACAACTTTGGGGCAGGGGGCAGCAGATTTTCTTCAAGAATTTGATGGTATTTTTCCCCATCCATTTTTCTTCTATCCTGACAAGTACTCCAGTCCCTGCTGCAGAGAAACACCCCCATAACAGGATATTACCACCTCCTTGCTTTACTGTAGGAATGGTGTTATTTGGATTGTGAGCGGTATTGGATTGCTGCCAGACATATCGTTTGGAGTTGAGTTCAAATAATTAAATTTTAGTCTCATCTGATCATAACATTTTCATGTGGCCTCAGAATGTTCAAAGTGCGTTTTGGCAAAGCTCAGTTGGGACTGCATGTGGCTTTTCTTCAGAAGTTGCTTTTTTTCTTGCAAACCTCCCATACAAGCCACATTTGTGGAGAATTTGTGATATTGTCACATGCACACAATGACCACACTTGGCTCTTTCATCCAGTTTGGAGCGACGTCCTGATCCAGGGAGGGTCTGTGTTGTAAAAATGTTTTGTATCCATCTCCTGACTTTTGCCTGTCCACAACTTTATCTCAGAGATCTTCTGACAATGCCTTGCCATCCATAGTTGATTGTTTGCTTCAGTTGTGCTACCAGGGACTGAAAGGAAAGCTCTTTTCATGCTGAGTTTATCAAAATGACCACAGCTGATCACAAATGAATGTCAGATGGCTTTGTGTGCCATTGAGAAGCTGATTAGCTACACCTGATTGAGTTTAATTTTTAGGAGGGGGGGTGATCATTTTTCAGAAACTCAGGGATTCTTTTTGAATTTTTTTCCTGACATGGGGTGATTCTTTTCTATACCCCGCTGTCAGTCCATGTTCTGGTCATGTCCTGATTGTAGAGAGGCCAGAATGCGACCACAAAGTAATCTCTGGGATTGAAGTGCCTGTGTTCACACAGCAGGAAAAGAAGGATTGCCAGGTACAAGAGCAAATTTTTTGGAAGTGGCTTTTATTACTTTCAGCAAATTAGGAATGACAAACTCAGAAATGATTTGTCTTTTAAGACCTGGGCTTTAACAGCCACGGATGAATGGGCTACTGTACTCATGAAAATGGGGGCTGCATGGCCCAAATAGTGTAAACTGAGGGTCATACAGGATCGTCTTGGTTGTTCATTGCCCTAGCCCAATTAGCTGCAGTTTGACAGACAAAAATTGCAGTACTAGCTGGTCGCAGAGCCGGACCTGCAAGTATAAAGAGAGCTTTTAAGAGCATATCAAATTTCCTATCTGCGGAATCTTTAAATGAAGGAACATCTTCAGTTGGTACAGTGAGATTTAAGACTGAGACAGCAGAATTTACTACCATAAAAGACCATTCTTTGTGAGCTCTTTTTTCACTGGATAGAGTTAGGCAATGATTTTGGAGGAAGGGGGCTATGAAAATCTTTCTTGAATTGACCCAATCACCAGAAATTGACCATTCTATTTGTTCATGAACTGGGAATGTCTTTTTAGATTTAACAGGTCTCTTAGTACCCACAAGACCATGGCACGGCAGGAGATATTAACGTGTGAAAATGCAGAGGATTCAGCACACAGCAGAAGTGAGCATATCCACACTGGCAAGCCTATTGCCTAAAAGTTGCAACATCAGGTGTGTAAGAGTCTGGAAATGAGAAGGCTTTCCGCAGCCTATTCGAACACTGCCCTAGGGTCATCTTCATTCTCTTCTATGTCCATGTCTTCTAGGCTGAGCATATCAGGATCTGACTCGGGTAGAGACGGTGAAGCTGGTGAAGGAGCCTGACATTTTTAAGCAGTGGCCAGCAATGGCTGTATTCAAGCCTTCAGCAGAGCGATCATTTCTCTGAGCTTTTCCCATAGCTCCCTTTTAATATACTAAAAGTAATTGTGCTAAAGTGTCAATAGTGAATAAAGTATAAATATCTATGACTCTGTAGCAGCTGCACTCACATGAAAAGTGCATGTGCATAACCATGAAACAGTTTATAATATAAATCAAATTCATAAATATACAGAACATAATATATGTGCTCATAAGTGCAACATGATTATAAGGTGCTAAATACACAGTCCATTGCCAAAGAAGAAAACATGCAGATATGGCAGCCATGTAGTCCCACAGATGAATAGACTTTTCACCGCTTGTGAACACCAACAGTCACAAACTGCTTACCAGATCCTCAGAACTCAAAAGGGATGGAGGTCTGGTTACACAGGCAGAAAACACAAATGGATGGATGGATGGATGAAGACTTCCTAGAACATCAAACGAAGCTCATCCCGCCAACAGCAGCAATCCATCATATGATAAGCCAATTCAAGATTATATCAATGACAAGAAAGAGCAAGAAACTCTATCATGGTGTAGTATCTATAAACAAACTTTTATTAACATAAGAAATCTACTCAGAAGTGTAAAGATTAAAACAGCATTTCAGTAACATTTGATGCCTCGGCGGGAGTGTGATGACGTCACCGCTGTAGCTCCGTTTTGCCTGGCTTCCACCATAGCTGTAAGTGAGGGTATCTCCCTGTGCAGTACTCACGGAGTAGGGGTGCAGAATATAGGATAAGTGTATGCAAGATGGAGCATGCAGCAAACCAGGTGCAGACCATCCTGTAGCAAAGTCCTTGTAGCCAAAATACAGGGGGAAATGCCCGAGTACCTTATAAAGGGCTCTAGGAAGAAGTGGCAGTAAAGTATGTGACCTGTGATGGGATGTGCAATGGATATGTCACCAGCACACCAGGGAACTCTATAAATGGGTCCAACGCTTCATTAAACAATCACATCATAGCAAAGGACAGCAACATTTCTGAGCCACACAGGATCTCTTCATCAGGAAAGGGGTTTTGCAAGGCTCAGAAACATCACTGGCCTTTGCTGTGATGGGATCGCTTAATAAAGCCTTGGATCTTTTATGGAACTTGGTTGTATTTTAGCGCCAAACACAGTCCCGTTTTGTTTATGGTAATGCTTAGAGATACAGGGTAACCCTGTCTTACTTGTTCGCATTGTTGGTCCCTATATGGGGTTAAGGCTTCATCCATCATGATGGGCATACCCCGGGAGGGTCTTCAAGGTCTTGCCCTGGACCTGAATAGCACCCTGCAGCTAACTACATGCATTGCACAAAGTGCTGAGGTGAAAGCCCATGCCGGAATCAGTGCCCGAAGCAACATTGCAGGCAGTCCCCACTGTGTGTGGGGTTTGGGTATGCTTCCCTAGGTTTTACGGAGGTTGCACTGATCCCAAAGCTCTGTTTCTGGTAATAGAAGACAGTGAATAGCTGATTGAAGAATTGATCAGACTGGAAATAATTTACATACTTACCTCAAGACTTGGATGCACAGCTGTATCTTTTCCTCTTAATCCTAAATCTATATTTCTTTTGAAGCTGTCCCGGAACATTTTGCTCAATATCCCTGTAGCAACGCCAAGACCACCTTTCTTAATTTCCCTATATAAATGTAAGTGAAATTATTATATGTTAAAAAGGTTCAGGACATCAAGCAAAATATATAAATCAAAATGTCAAATAGAGATACTGGCTATCAATTCTAACAGTCAACAAATCTCTGTAGGCAAGTTAATTCAGAGCCATCTTTAGGAAATACAACATACATAGGCTGCCACTGTTGCCTTTCCTCCTGAATATCCTAGCTCCCCTGTGTCATGCCAATTCAATGGTTGCATGTTTGTTCCAAGTCAGCAAATAAAAGAGGAATTTTGACTTACCTCTAAATTCCATATCTTTGAACACAGTACAAGACACAGGCAAAGTATAGATTATAGGCTTGTACCTTCAGGTGATTGAACATTGACAAAGCTTTTGAGGACACTGAGCGTATCCCCTATAACCCTAACCCCTCTCCAGAGTCCTCAAGAAATGTAGAGTAACCAAGGAATGGGTGGCCTGGGGCAAAAGCCAAGGCAAGGGGGTCTCCTGTGACGTGTACTGTGCTCCAAGATATGCAATTTACAGGCAAGTCAAAAATTTGGAAAATATGTGGAAAGGAACGCTGATCTTACACAGAAAGTGTAGTGCTAGTGCCTAAATAAACCTTTCCAAATAATGTTCACTGCAAAACCATAAAGTGTGAAAAAAAATACATAAGTGCAATAAGGTAAAGTGCATAAAAGTGTCCTTTCCACCATTCATTGGCAAGCACAAGTTCCAAAATAAATGATCAAATGACAAAACCAAAAGTTCATAGAAGTGCAGTCAAAAGTCCAGTCAAAAGCGGAAATTACATTTGTGATCCTTCCACACCAGAATAATAACAATCCTGTGCACATTTCTCTGGATAGCCTTAAACTCATCACAAAAGATGGACCTTTGTTGGGTAATAAAGGTCAAAAGCCACTCTGGACTTTGTGGTTCTGCCAGTTACCACTTCCACACTTGTGAGTGTATACTGTTACAGTTTTTATTAATAAATTCTCATTAATTACTACACTTCAAGCCCCTTGCACTCTAATTTTCAGTTTATTTTTGTATTTTGTGGGAGCCCCTACTCCAAGCAAGCTGTCTGTATCAGGCAACACCTGGTAGCAGTGGCTTTTGGTTTGGTCTAGAGGATGGGACCGTTATATAGATATGTACAGTTGCAAGAAAAAGTATGTGATCCCCTTGGGATTACGTGGAGTTTTGCATGAATTGGGCATAAAATGTGCTCTGAACGTCATCTAAGTCACAACAATAGAAGAACACAGTCTGCTGAACATAATACTACACAAACATTAGATGTTGCCATGGTTTAATTGCATATAACATGTAAAAATTCACAGTGCAGGGAGGAAAAAGTATGTGAGGCCCTAGCTTAATGACTTCTCCCGGAGCTAATTGGAGCCAGGAGTGAGCCAACCTTGACTCCAATCAGTGTGATGATATTGGATGTGTTGCAGACAGCTGTCCTGCCCTTAAAAAACACACACCTGTTTTGGGTTTACTGGTTTCAAGAAGCACTGTCTGATGTGAACCATGCCTCGCAGAAAAGAGCTCTCAGAAGACCTACGATCAAGAATTGTTGACTTGCATGAAGCTGGAAAGAGTTACAAAAGTATCTCCAAAAGCCTTGATGTTCATATGTCCACGGTAAGACAGACTGTCTACAAATGGAGAAAGTTTAGCACTGTTGCTACTCTCCCTAGGCGTGGTCGTCCTGTAAAAATGACTGCAAGAGCACAGCGCATAATGCTGCATGAGGTAAAGAAGAATCCCAGAGTGTCAGCTAAAGACCTACAGAAATCTCTGGCACATGCTAACATTTTTGTTGACACATCTACAATAAGGAAAACATTAAACAAGAATGGAGTACATGGGAGGACACCACGGAGGAAGCCATTGCTGTCCAAAAAGAATATTGCAGCACGTTTGAAGTTTGCAAAAGAGCACCTGGATGTTCCACAGCACTACTGGCAAAATATACTGTGGACAGATGAAACCAAGATTGAGTTGTTTGGGAAGAACACAACACTATGTGTGGAGAAAAAAAGGCACAGCACACCAACATCAAAACCTCATCCCCACTGTAAAACATGGCGGAGGGAGCATCATGGTTTAGGGCTGCTTTGCTGCCTCAGGGCCTGGACGGATTGTTGTCATTGATGGGAAAATGAATTCCAGAGTTTATCAAGACATTTTGCAGGAAAACGTACGACCATCTGTCCGCCAACTGAAGCTCTGCAGAGGATGGGTGATGCAACAGGACAATGACCCAAAGCATACAAGTAATTCAACAAAACAATGGCTGCAACAGCACAGAATACGCCTTCTGGAGTGGCCCAGTCAGAGTCCTGACCTCAACCCGATTGAAATGCTGTGGCATGACCTTAAGAGAGCGATTCACACCAGGCATCCCAAAAATATTGCTACACTGAAACAGTTTTGTGAAGAGGAGTGGTCCAAAATGACTCCAGATCATTGTGCAGGTCTGATCTGTAACTACAGGAAATGTTTGGTTGAGGTTATTGCTGCCAAAGGAGGGTCAACCAGTTATTAAGTCCAAAGGTTCACATACTTTTTCCTCCCTGCACTGTGAATGTTTACATGTTATGTGCAATTAAACCATGGCAACATCTAATGTTTGTGTAGTATTATGTTCAGCAGACTGTGTTCTTCTATTGTTGTGACTTAGATGACGTTCAGAGCACCTTTTATGCCCAATTCGTGCAAAACTCCACGTAATCCCAAGGGGTTCACATACTTTTTCTTGCAACTGTATATGTCTATATGGTGATTGACTTGCTTTCTTATGTTTGCACATGTGTATTTTTGAGGAAGTTGGAATACACCGTTCCTACACCGTTTTACGATTTGTAGAGAAGCGTCTGAGAGCTGTTAGTTTGTGCTGCGTTAGAAATCGGAGTATGTCTGTGTACTAAGTCCCCCTGGGCCAGTGATAAGACTCATTGCTTTCCTCACTTGCTCTATTTTCTTGAGCAGCAAGGCAGAATTTGCACTGGACTGAAGGCACAGATTAGTCTAAACCAGTGTTTCTCAACTCCAGTCCTCATGGACCCCCAACAGGTCATGTTTTCAGGATTTCCCTCAGATGAAACAGCTGTGGTAATTACTACGGCAGTGAAACTGATCAAATCACCTGTGCAAAATAATGGAAATCCTGAAAACATGACCTGTTGGGGGTCCATGAGGACTGGAGTTGAGAAACACTGGTCTAAACTGAGATCAAGGAATTACCAAGGAATCTGAGGCTAGGACTACAGGATACCTCATCCAGGCCACAGACAGAGGAAATTTGTTGATGAATCAATAGGCTGAGATGTATATATCTGGAGTACCCGGATATATCATATTGAAGATGTCTGGGTGAAGGATGCATTCCTCTTGATCCTGGAAGTATTGGCTGAAAAACACCACTTTCCAGTTTTCCACTCCTGGGATGTGGACTGCAGAGATCACTGGACAGCGAGTTTCCATTCATAAGTTTATCTGGCTTGCTTTGTTCAAGGCTGCATGACTCCTGGTGTCCAGCTGTAGCAATGTCTGATGGCACCCTAATCAGGTGTCCTCGCAGAAGGGGTCCACGGTTGTAGAGCCAGCCGAACTGCTGAGGACCAGGATTTTGACAGGAGCTTGGCTTCCACCAGTAATCCTTTACCCTGGAACTTGAGGGACTGTAAAACTTGTCCGCAGACTGAAGGATTGGTGTCTGTTAGTACTTTCCAGTGATAGAGAAGGAAAGAGCTCCCTATTGTTAGAGCTGGGGTTGAAATCCACCAAGTTGGCAGTCCATTGCTTGGCTGGTCATGAACATAGGTGGGCTGAGAAAAGAAGCATGGCTGTTCCAGGGTGACAAGATGTTGTGCTGTAGAGTTCTGAAATGAAATTGGGAAAATGGTAGAGACTCGAAGGAGACCATCATGAGGCCTAGAACTCTCATACAAATTCTCATTTTGAGATGTCTCTGATCTCAATTCACGGGTTTGGGCTCTGAGAGAGCATTTCCTTTTCTGGAGGGAAAGCGTATGCTTGCGATCTGTCCAGGACCAGACCCAAGGTTTCCAGATGGAGAACACTGAAGGGCAAATTTTTTAAAACTTGATTGCCCAACTGAAGGCCTGGAGCACCTGATTTGTCCTGTGGATGTTTGCATAAAGCTGAAGGGGAGAGGAGTTCTTAAGGAGAAGGTTGTCTAGATAGCCTGTGACCTAGATGCCTTGAGTTCTGAGAAGGGCAAGAAAACTCTGGGAGCAGAGAATAGGCCAAAAGGCAGTGCAATAAATTGGAAGTGATTGGTTGCCACTGCGAACCACAGAAAGTGCTGATAAGGTAGATAAATGGGAATAAGTAGACAGGCATCATGGATGTCTACAGATGCCATGCATTCCCCTTGGCTCATAGAGTCAATTACTGGCCTTGCAAATTCCAAGAAAAATGTTGGAATTTGAAGGTGGTTATTAAGGTGTTATAATTCCAGAATAGGACACATACCTTGTTGGGCTTTGGTACAGTGAACAGGTTTAAATAATATACTTTGAACCTGTCTTGTGGAGGTGCTAGCACAGATACTCCCTGGGAAGAGATGGTTCAGGGTATTTGGCAAATTTGACTGTCCTTCGTTATTTTTTGGTCAACTTGAGAAAAGAAAGCAGCAAGCGAGTAGAGTACTGAACTCTATTTTGTACCCCTTTAAAACCACTGGTTAGACCCTGACAGAGGCAAACTGTAACAGATGTCCCGTCACTCTTAGGATGGAGGGCTCCTGTAAAATAACGAATTGTCTCGATATTTTGTTAACTTGTATTGGTGAGAAAAGTCCAAAATATAAAGTCCTTCCAGCTCTTGCATAAACTCAAAAATGAATTTAATAATAATAATATTGCATAAAATTTTAAATAAAATGTTGGAATACAGATAATGTTAGATAATGTCCAAAAGATATACTTATGTTCTTGAGATACAAATTGTGTATAATTGTGTGTGGTGTGAGTCTG